AGAATAATAAAGATCAAAATAATTATAGTTCAAAATTGATATAGAAAAGCCTTGACATTAAACTATCAGAATTGACATAAAAATTTATAAAGGTGAAATAACTAAATTTTAAATCTTAACGTAAATGTGTGAGAGTTCACGTAACAAGTCAATTAAGTTAAAAAAAATCAAACTTTAGTGAAAAAAATATTTAAATTTATATTCTCGAACTAAAAGTGTTTAACAATATATAAATTTTAATTTTTAAGTTTTGACGTAAAACTGTAACAATTTGACATAAAAACTTATAAAGATAAAATGATTAAATTTTAAATGTTAACTTAAATGTGTGAGAGTTAATGTAACAAGTCAATTAAGTAAAAAAAAATCTAATTTTAATAAAAAATATTTAAATTTATATTTTTAGGCTAAAAATGGTTAACAATATAAAAATTTTAATTTTTAAATAAAGAATAATATTGAAAAAAAATTATAGTTCAATATTGACATATATAAGCCTTGAAGTAAAAATATAAAAATTGACGTACAAACTTATAAAGGTGAAATAATTAAATTTTAAATCTTAACATAAATATTTAAAAGTTAACATAATAAATTAATTTTAATAAAAAATAAACATTTATATTTATATTATCGGGTTGAAATTATGTAATGATATTCAAATTTTTATTTTTAAATAAAAAATAATAAGAATAAAAATAATTATCATTCAAAATTTACATAAAAAGGCCTTAACATAAAACTATAAAAATTGACATAAAAACTTATAATGGTGGATTAACTAAATTTTAAATCTTAACGTAAATGTGTGATAGTTAATATAATAAGTTAATTAAGTAAAAAATTTTAATTTTAATGAAAAATAATCATTTATATTTATATTATCGAGTTAAAAGTATATAACAACATATAAATTTTAATTTTTAAATAAAAATAATAAAGATAAAAATAATTATAGTTTAATATTGACATAGATAAGTCTTAACATAAAACAGTAAGAATTAACGTAAAAACTTATAAAAGTGAAATAACTAAATATTAAATCTTAACGTAAACGTGTGAGAGTTAACGTAACAAATCAATTAAGTAAAAAAATATAATTTTAGTAAAAAATAAATATTTAAATTTATATTTTCAAACTAAAAGTGTTTAACGATATACAAATTTTATTTTTTAAATAAAGAATAATAAGGATTAAAATAATTATAGTTTATAATGGATATAGAAAAATCTTGACGTAAAATTATAAGAATTAACGTAAAAACTTATAAAGTTAAAATAATTAAATTTTAAATCATAACATAAATATATGAGAGTTAATATAGCAAGTTAATTAAGTAAAAAAATTTAATTTTATTGAAAAATAAATATTTAAATTTATATTTTAGAATAAAAGTATTTAACGATATATAAATTTTAATTTTTAAATAAAAATAATAAAGATAAAAATAATTATAGTTTAAAATTGACATAGATAAGTCTTAACGTAAAACTGTAAGAATTGACGTAAAAACTTATAAAGGTGGAATAACTAAATTTTAAATCCTAACGTAAATGTGTGAGAGTTAACGTAATAAATTAATTAAGTAAAAAAATTTAATTTTAATAAAAAATAAGTATTTATATTTATATTATCGAGCTAAAAGTATGTAACGATATATAAATTTTAATTTTTAAATAAAAATAATTATAGTATAAAATTGACATAGATAAGTTTTAATGTAAACTGTAAAAATTGATGTAAAAATTTGTAAAAGTAGAATAACTAAATTTTAAATCTTAATGTAAACCTGTGAGAATTAACGTAACAAGTTCATTAAGCAAAAAAAAAAAATTAATTTTAGTGAAAAATAAATATTTAAATATATATTCTCGAACTAAAAGTATTTAACGATATATAAATTTTATTTTGTAAATAAAAAAATAAAAAAAATTATAGTTCAAAATTGACATAAATAAATTTTGACTTTAAACTATAACAGTTGACGTAAAAACTTATAAAGGTGAAATAATTAAATTTTAAA